GGTCTCTACACGCGCGCGCGCGCACACACACACACACACACACACACACACACACACACACACACACACACACACACACACACACGCGCACACACCAAAACCACCCACGCCGCCACCAAGCTAGCTTGCTTCGCAGTAGCAGCAGCAACAAGCTGCGCGGTGCTGATCTTCCCCTCCGCGGTGCCAAATGAATTCCCCTTCAAGAGGCCTTGTGCATCGAGTCTTTGCCGCATGTGTCTCTCTTTTTCATTTGCAGAGTGGCTATTCAAAATAAATCATCTGTGAGTCATTTATTTTTATGGCTGATACGCCGACAGTTGATTTGATTGTGATCAGAGTTTATACGCCTGCTATTAAAGGCGCTCCTTTCTCGGGGCGGCGTCGTGGCCCGTGGTCGTCCGCGGCAGGGCTCGGTCGCCACGTCGATCGACGGGCAACACGGGTGAATATTTGGTCTTGTTACCAGGTGGCTGACTTGTCGATGGGCGATCTGCTGCTCCACACCAGCGTGTCCTGGATCAACCCACCGCCTTCCTTAGGAAAGTGGAAGAAAGAGCCCCAGATGGCCACTTTTGGTAGACGCCTTTCTTGTTTGAATCATGATGAAGGTGTTCCGAAGATGAATTTGATGCTCACAACATTTTTTTTTTGGTGTCGTATCTTTTAGTGTTCAAAACGGCAGTGGTCTTTGTGTGCAAGGATGGATCCAAACACAAGAAGAAAATGGTGAGTGGCCGCACAGCGCAAGGAAATGAGCTTTGGTATCCAAATCAGAACTCAAGTTGTTCTGTTTTTGGTTTCTAGGGCGGCTCCCATCGTGTGTCGATGTCTTCCGAGGAAAAAGATCCCTTCCGATATCGTCACATGATTCCGACGCACGCCCTCCAAGTGAGGCCGCTGGCGAATGCAGGTCAGCTCATCCTAAATTTCACGGTGTCCAACAGAAGTCGTGAGCCAAGCGTAAGATAAAAATGGAATCGCCCTAAATTTCGGCGTCTATCCACTGGAACAAGTTGGGGACGTCGGGTTCCGGCTAGTCTGTTAGGGTTTGGGGCTTGAGTTAGGGACTTTAGGGTTGCAGCCGGAGGTTCGGATTAGTCCAACAGTCAGGCAGTTAATTACGATAAAGGGGTTAGTTGGACCATGCTGAGGGTTACGCTTACATCTGGGAACTTTGAATTAGTGGGTTAACATTAAATTGGAGTTAGAGCAGGTGGGCTTGGGTAAGCGGGATAAGGTGGTCATGGACAACCACTTTTCCCGAAGGAGTCTGAATCGATGGTTTCCTCTTCAGATGGCGAGGGCACCTCCGTGTGCGAGATCGTTCACACAAAGTCGGAGTCGGAAGGTCGTCCGGAGAGGGCGTTCCAGCTGTGTTGCAGGTGAGGTGCACGCGCTCCGCTATTTTGTTTTCGTTGACGGAACTTTTCACGATGATGTCACATGTGCTTCCGGGTGGCCGGAACTCACATTGCAGCACTTGGAAACAAATCTTTTAATGTCATTTGACCCAAGGCAAGAGCGATTCCAAAAACAGGCGAAATCGCTTAAATGAGCATTTTGGCCTTCTTCTCTACTGCTGTAATTTGAATGCGTGGCTTGTCAGTCGAAAAGATGTTCCGTTAGGTAAATTCCTTCGGAGCGGGACACCCCCCTGGCCGTAATTAATATTTGAAGAAGTCGGTGTTTGTAGCTAGCTCAGGAATTTGGCGGCATCTTAGCTAAGTAAGGGCGTTTTGTCTTGTCTGAGCTAAGGACGTTTGCGTCATCTCAGCTAACTTCTTAGCATTGATGTGCGAAACCTTCTTTGGGTTTTGAGCTCTTGCATGTGAGAAATTTGAAGAGTTTATCACTTCAAGTAACATTAGACATTGTGAGATTTGTTGATTTAGCTCGATTGAACTTTTGACAGTGAACTGGAGAGAGCTAACATTAGCTAGTAGGCTAGTCATTACGTTTTGCTAAAAGATGATGCGACCAAACAAAGACATTGGACCGGTGGGAAAATGTCTCCCACAAACCTGAAGATGGCGGTTTGGTTCCCCGTCTGACGATTCTTCCTTCTCATCTATAGGCTATGCTCGATTAATTTGGATTTTTATTTAAGTACTGCATATCGGAAAAGATCCAAACCTTTTGGTCCATATCTGGCGGCGCGACCCCAAGCAAGTTTTGTCAGTGTTTTCAGTTCAAGTCAAAGATAGTCCACCCGGAAGTACCCTGATGCTTGCACTATAGAGCAGATGATCTGATAACCGAGCGTCCCCCCCCCTCCTACTCCCCCCCAGCTCCCCGGAGAGCAGGAAAGACTTCCTCAAGACGGTGCACTCCATCCTGCGAGAGAAGAACCGGCGGCAGCGGCCAACAAACATGCATATCGGAAAAGATCCAAACCTTTTGGTCCATATCTGGCGGCGCGACCGCAAGCAAGTTTTTGTCAGTGTTTTCAGTTCAACTCAAAAATAGTCCACCCGGAAGTACCCTGATGCTTCCACTATAGAGCAGATGATCTGATAACCGAGCGTCCCCCCTCCCCCTCCCCTTGAGCATTTACCAATGTCAATCGAACATGGCAAAAATCTTTTCAACTATGGTTGGATGATGTTAAATATTTTCAGTGTATACTAAATATAGGGGAAAAAAAACATTAACTTTTGAATTGAATCCCATTTGGTGAGGTTGTAGTTTTTGGTGTGCTTCTGACCTGAAGATGAGGTCAGGTTCAAACCAGTTCCCGAATTTTTGGGAGGTCCTGAGCAATGTCAATCAAACATGCCAAAAATCTTTTCAATTATGGTTGGATGATGTTAATTTTTTTTCTGTGCTCACGTGTTAAAGATAATTCAGATCCAGAATTGTGCAGTGTATACTAAATATATGGGGAAAAAAAAACATTAACTTATGAATTGAATCCCATTTAGTGAGGTTGTAGTTTTTGGTGTGCTTCTGACCTGAAGATGAGGTCAAATTCAAACCAGTTCCCAAATTTTTGGGAGGTCCAAGGGACAAATTTTCGGTTTCAAAGATGGTCTGTACCCTTGTTCTCATTGGTTTATCGTGTCATTTCCACAGCTTCTGCACCAACCAGAACCCTCGGTCGGAGGAAGCTGGTGCGCAACCGCTTCACCATCGACACCGACATCGTCTCTGACGGCGAGCCCGAGCGGGACCTGGCCTCGCCTCCGGAGCCCCGGGACGAGCGGACGGAGGCGGAGCGCGACCGGCTTCTGTCGTCGTCGTCGGACGCCGGCGACACGGACCGCTGGGTGGAAGAACAGTTTGACCTCAAAGAGTACGAAGACCCCGAAGAGGTGAAGGAGACGGACATCCTGAGCGACGAGGATGACGGAGCGCGCCTGGACGCCTCCGTGGCCGAATTGTCCCTGCGAGGCGAGGGATCGGGGAACGGGCACGGCGAGGCGTCGGCGGCGACCGCGGAAGACCACGACGCGGACCAGACTAACGTTTGGGTGCTGCGAGAGCATCCGGAAAGCTCGCCCGACTGAAAACTGCGACTTAGTCATCTTTGGAGGGTCTCCATGGCGACGCATGGGCTGGTAGATACAAACTCTTGTAGTACAATCATGGAATCGTAATCACGTGCATTGATGATTGGCGATGTTTGCACACTAGGGCGGCGCTCTGCAGCCCAGCCTGCTGTTGCCAAATTACACTCGTCACAGGAAGTTGGTGAAATTGGGCTTTTGGGTGAAATTTGGAGGATGAGCCTAAAATAACCTTTACCGAGCGCAAACTTGATTTGACCTTGAAAATTCCGCGTCCCTCTCTATGCTCAGTGGCCACATCCCTCTGAGAACATCGTGTACTTGGTGTCTCTTGGTTTTTGGCTGTCACCTTGGTTTCACGTTGTCAAAATGCAAACAAGCACGACCTGTTCCGAATTTTGTCATTTAGCCCCTAACTCGCCAAAAGTACTGAAATGATCTGACATTTTTTTTTCAAAAGTTTAGGGAAGGTCACCTTTAAATGCTCTGGTGTATTTTAGGTTCATCCCGAAACTTCACCTAACCGCTAACTTTTTGTGAATAGTCGATGTATTTGTGTGACTCAGATTGGATTTTTCTCACAGACATGGAATACGTAATAGCAGTTGGTGTGAGGTCGTGCATCATTTAAAGGACTGCTCCTCTTTCTAGAAAGTATTTTCTTTACGTAAGGTATTTTGTGTTAGATTTTTAGACCGCTTTGGTTGGCCAGGTACATTTTTGTAACAATTTGAAAGTTTAAAGTGGTTTGAACTTAACATCCTTTTTTTTACTTGAATATTTCATGTTTTTGTTTACATAAAACGTTTTTCCTCTTTTTGCTCTTCGGTATTGCCTTTCAAAGAAAACTCATTTGTCATGCCCGCTCGTCTCAATTTGCACATGAGCTTTTTTTTTTTGTTTGTTTTTTGTTTCAAGAAAAACGGTCTTCACTGATTACAAAGTACAGATTTTTTTTTAAACTGTTATTTATTGAGTTGCAAATATATTTGTAAGGACGGTCCAAATGTGCTCGAGCAATCACAGGAGAGGGAGGATGTCGACTTTCTGTTCAGTTTTTGGTCCAAATATGTTAAAATAATTGCGCTACCGAGACTGCGTTTTTATTATGACTGTGCCTGTACATAGAAAATGTATTGATATCATAATTACAGAAAAACTGTTGTTTTCTACTTGTGTCTTTGTTGCAATCTACCTTGCTGATGGAGCGTTATTAATATAATATTCACATTTGTTGTGTTTTTGGTTTTAAAATTGAGATTATATTGAGTTGGTGTTAGGGTTGGAGTTGAATTTATGGTTGGGATTAGGGTTAAAGTTAGGGTTGGAGTAATGGCTGGAGTTACGGTTGGTTTAAGGGTTGTGTTTAGGGCGAAAATTATTTTTGGGGTTGAGATTAGGATTGGGGTTAGGGTTGGGGTTAGGGTTAGGGGTGGGGTTGGTTTTAGGGTTAGGGTTGCTGGAGTTAGGGTTGGGTTTAGGTTGGGGTTAGATTTAAATTTAGGTTTGGGTGTTGGGGTTAGGGTTGGTCCTAGGGTTTGGGTTAGGGTGAAGGAGTTACGGTTAGGGTTGGGGTTGGAGTTAGGGTTAGGTTCGGGTGTACGGCTGGGGTTAGGGTTAAAGTTAGGGCTGGGGTTCGGATTGGGGTTAGGGTTTGTGTTGGTTTTAGGTTTGGGATTAGGGTTGGGTTAGGGGTTAGGTTTGGGATAAGGGTTAAGGTCTAGGTTAGGGTTGGGTTTAAGAGTTAGGGTTGAGTCGAGGTTGGTCGTGGAGTTGGGGTTAGGCTTGGGTTAGGATAGGGTTGGAGTTTGCGATGGAGTAGGGGTTAGGAGCTGGGTTGGGTTAGGATTGGGGTTAGGGGTTAGGGTTTAGGTGAGGGTTGGAGTTAGGTTTGGGGTTACGTTCGAAGTTGGGTTTAGGTTTGGGGTTATGGTTAAGGTTAGGGTAGGGTTTTGGGTTGGGGATAGGGTTGGGTTTAGCGTTTCGGTTGGGGTTAGAGTTTGGCTCGGGGTTGGGATTAGGGTTGGGGGTTCAGGTTCGGGATGTGGTTGGGGTTTGGATTAGGGTGTTAGGGTTTAGGCTCGGGTTTGCGGGTTGGGTAAGGTCTGGGTGTTGGTTCGGGTATGCGTTGGTGTCGGGGGTTTAGGGTTATGGGAAGGGTTTGTTTTAGGGTTTAGGTTAGGGTTAGGATTAGGGGGTTACTTTTCGGCTTTGGTTCAAGGTTAGGGTATGGGTTGTGGATAGGGTTTGGGTTAGGGTTTGTTTAGATTTTGGCTGTTTTGAAGGACTGTTTGAAAGGTGCATTACTGCCACATACTTTTTATTTCCCCCAAGGCTTGTCTGTAAAAGTGCTGCCGTGGCGAGTATCAAGTCACTTGATGCAAGCTGCATTAGTCGAGAGTAAAAGTGCTCACAAGTGACACTGGAGTGCAACAAGAGCTTTGTGCCTCATTCATTCAGTCGGCACTTTCATGTGCTCAGTCGGGTTCAGTTGGAAATCATGCAAAAAATGAGCTGACGCTTTATATACTGGGAAGGTCAAGGAGGTTTTCCGTTTCATATTTTGGTGAATAGCCATCAATAATATTTACGATAACTTTAAAAAATGTTTAAAAAAAAAAAAAAGAGAGAATCTAAAAAATTAGCTGAACAAAATTTGCAATGCGTACTCCTGGCTTTCATGTCAGAACAGGGTTCAATTTGGATTTGATCAAGATGGCGCAATGAACAGAAAAGGGAAAAAAGGGGGGGTGAGACAATTTGAGATGCATGAGAGACTGGGTTAAAGACACCAATGAGGGCTGAAAGTGTCCAGGTGACCACAACCAGTTTAGACGAAGCAACATTTGACTCTTTGCAGCCCTCTAGTGGCGCTTACTCATCCCTGCACTCATTTCCTGGTTGTTTTGCAATGTGTTTCTAATATTTTGGTCATCCAATTATGTTGTCTACAGAGAGAGTCAAAATGTGAGGTAATGTAAACTATTTGAGGTGAGGAAAGTACTTACGCTGTACTCAAGTAGTACAGATGCTTGTAATGTAATTAAGTACAAAAGTATTTTTTTTTAAGTGACATACACAATACCGTTAACATTAATAACTTGGCACAAAAGTTGTCAGCAAAATAAATACCGCATTATCCCTGCAGACACCTAAAAAACAACAATTAACTCAAGTACAGTCATGAAACATTTGTACAGTACTTGCTTACCTCCCACCAATTCAAACGACAACAACAAAAGTGATGTCACCATCATTACGCATTACAGGAGCGCGGTCATGTGAATGTGTGCGCGTGTGTATATTTATCTTGGAAGTCGGGACGCTGGTATCACTCAACAAAGTCGCCCGACCAGCTTTCAAGTTTCTGTTCCTGTTGAGCTGCCTTCTTTCGTTTTGCTTTTGTTGCCTCTCAGCCGACTGCTCTTCGGAACCACACAAATCCATGTTCTTGTCTGGACTCAGACAAAGCTATGTGAAACTTTTCGGAGCAAATGCCTCACGAGCAAAATGTGATTACAGCTCGTCTCTTTTTTCATGTTCGAACACACACACGAAAAACAAGATTCATACGAGCTTCGTTTTGACACAATGCTTAAAAACGTCCACGCCGAGACAAATCTCGACGTAAAAAATAATTCAAACTTCATGAGGCAAACCAAAACAACAACGATCAGCTCGTGGTGGAGGTAAACGAGAATGACGTATCACTCACCCCTTTTAGCAAATTTATGGGAATTGTACTTTTGGAGTCAAAAACACTTCCTTCGGGAGGAGGTTCCTCTTAGTGATGGGATTTTCGGCTCTTTTCTGTGGTCCGGTTCATTTGGATCGGCTCAGTGAAAAGAGACGGCTCTTTTGGCTCTCGAACGGCTCTTTTAACTTTAGCTTTTCTTTTAAATATTTATGATAAATTGAGCATACATTTTGACAAATGACTTGGTGAACTAAATATTGCACTCTACTGACTGCAAATAGCAACATTTATCAAGCAAATAAATGGCTTTTTACTTATTTTATTGAACAATAAAAAGGCTCCAAAGTTTGGAGCTTTTTTAAATGTTGTTGCTTGTTTATTGTTTGGAGTCCAAACAGCGGATATTCAACGAATTGCACCTTATTAAAAATATTCATTCCGTGTCTTTTGTGCATTTTTTTCACTTTTAAATTATCCTGCAGGCCTGATCAAACCTCCTTGTGGGCCGGTTCCGGCCATATGTTATACACCCCTGATGTACAGTAAGGTGTTTTTCGCTGAAAAAAACGACCACGTATAGGAAGGCGTTTTTAGCCAAAAAAAACGACCATGTATAGTAAGGCGTTTTTCAGGTTTTTAGCCGAAAAAAACGACCATGTATAGTAAGGCGTTTTAACCCGAAAAAAACGACCATGTATAGTAAGGCGTTTTTAGCCGAAAAAAAACGACCATGTATAGTAAGGCGTTTTAACCCGAAAAAAACAACCATGTATAGTAAGGCGTTTTTAGCCGAAAA